TAAATATCATGACTGCTCAAAAACTTAATACTTGTCTTAGTCCTGTAGATCACTGGATAATTTATCGGCCTTCGAAATGATAAATAATCGGATCGAATCACAGTATGAATATCGAGATTAAGATGCAAGTTCATTTAGGTGACGAACTTCATACATGACAAAATGCACTTCTGCTGCTAGCTACTATTCAAAATATAGTTTTACTAAGTATATAAAATACGTGCATATCCACAAAATCAGTATAAACCAGTTTTCTTAGGCACTGTATGACTTACTTAGCCATCTGTTTGATTGATTTCATTTAACAAGGAAGGATTCATATTAAATCCTAGTGAACGAATTCCTTATTTTTAAAAAATATATCTAAATGTCTGATTCCATGTTTAGACTACTTATATAGCCTTTCCTATAAAAATACGTCAAACGAAAGCATTTGTAAGATGTGATATTGCCTAATCTCTTATTTATTGCACATAAAAAAAAGACATTTAAAAGCATTTTAACTTAATCTTATACTAGATTGGGAGAGATTTATAAAGAAACACTGTCAAGGTCACAAAGGTTTCTAAAAAAGTACATGTACAATATATACAAGAAGATCAATACAGTCACACGTAGATGACATCTTAATACTTCAGTAAAATTTAACAAAGAAAAAAGAATCATTCCTTTAGAATTCCTATTCTATTCCTAATGATGTTTTGCTGCGTACTGTTTTCCAGATTATTATTTTCTGTCACTATGCAGTGAGCTAATCAATATTGGCATCTTATTTACTTTGATCAAAAACTTTTCAAATGTTAAATTATTGAATAATTATCGTTAAGTGTTTCATAGAGACACTGTTTTGTTGAAAAGAAGTAATATGTAGTAGAGTGTATCTATAAAATATTTCAGGCTTATTTTGGATACTGGTTGACTTTTTGATCCAGAACGTGAGTTTCATTTAGTTGAGACTCGTCGGTGGATGTTGTTAAACTTCAATGTTGATGTTCACTGGTCAAATGTAGTTTTCAGGTCAATAATAACAACAATACAAGAATTTGGTATTAATAGTAATGTGAACAGTTTTTGTTATCATTTAATAATGATTATGGAAAATTTGAGTTATTGTTAAGTTTTTACATAGTAGTTGAGTACAGATTCATGAGACTTTCTAAAGTATTTGAGCAAGTGATTTAAACTAAAATATTAATTATTAACTATTTACTCCAGTTATAGCAGGTTATATATGTTAGTATTCTATCGTCTTTTCATGATTCAAACACTAAACAACAGGCCGTTCCATCAACGAAGACAATTTACTTATTTTATCTTTCAAATGCGATATAAATGAATAAACTTATAGAGCTCTAAAGTAATTTCCATAAGTCTCAGTCTCGCATTGTAATCATTAACGTTTGAGAAAAGTCCCATAATCTTAGAATAAAAATGGACCGAAAGCGTATTCATAAATATTAGATTCCATATGCAAAATTAGCTGCAGATAGCTATTTATCACACGGTATTTGCTTAGCGGGAAACACTACCCTGATAAAACAGCGTTTCAAACCCTACAATACAAGCACTAATCTGATGACTATCATAATAAAAACATAAATTTTATAAAAAGATAAACTATAAAACTAGTCATGGATCAGTATAGCGTCCTTAATAAAATGGAAGTAGCTTAATCCAAACACAAAGATGGCATCTTGGAGCAAGATTTCATAGGTGAACAAAGTTCATGATTATTTAACTGGATGGAGAGAATGCCGTCCAACAGATGGTATTCAACATAACAGCGTGACTGGGTGATGACTGCTAGCAAGATAAAATATTTTTATCTAATAAAGTAATATGCCCATACACAAAATATTAACATAAAAGCAACAACGATAAATGTCATAAAAAATGGACAAAACTAATTTCTTACACCGAGCATTCTTCAATGGATTAGGATCTAAGTATCAGGTTTAACTTCCTGACGTATAGCCCTATATTTTGATAGCCTACCATTAAAATAGACAAACTGCAAACGATATAATCAATGCCAGTTTATTCCACTTCTTTTGTTTAAGGTTCAGTACTCACTGATAACTATGTATGTTCTTAGTTAACCGATAGAACATAATTTAAATTTGTAGCCGAATAGCCGAAAATTAGTAATTAAAACTAATGAGCCACATCTCAAAGGATAAATATTAAGTGGAGCTCGTACAGTTAAGTCCAGAAGTCATTCAAGTCCTGTGGTTTACGTTACCGAATAGAACATCCTTTCATAAGATAATAAGTACCTTTAAAGACATTATGTGAGAATCTTACTTCGTTAGCTAGTCGCAAACTATGACAGTAAACATATTTACTTAAGATTTCCATTTTTTCATAACGTTGACCATTGTATCGTTGCCTTTAGTACGTAAAGTAACCTTACAATGTTATGCGTAGCGATAATTCTCCATTTTATTCTTCAAGCAGATTTGATACTGTTAACAGTGACCAATACTTATTATTAAGTGAGTACCCTAATAGTGTTAAACATTTCCTGGATTCATTCAACGTCAATGAGTATTTATTTTTCTCCATATAACTCCTATTATGAGGGTCACATTCACTCCTATTTTTATCGATTTTAAACCCTGTATACATACGTCTATTGTTCCATATGTTAGATTCAATTGGAGAATTTTCCTATATTTCCTAACACTTGTGAACTAGTTACATTTCGGTACATGTACTTATTTTAATATCGTATTAACCTTGACCGCCCTATTATTTAGGAGTTAAATATTCAATAGATGTAAATATGGACAGTTAAAATGTCATTAGCATACAAACAAACTTCATCATCAATTACTTTCATCAAGTTAAGCTTCATTTTTCGTAACATTTAATATGACTTTAATTCATTCATGTTGTAGTGGAAGTTTGATATAAGTAGTCTTGTATACAGAATTATATTAATATCATGCGATTATTTGCTTCCCAATATTTTTCTTCGGACACTGGAAAACAGAATATTGGGTTTAGTAATTCTACATTATCTACTTAGAAGTATAAGTATTGAAATAAAGAGTGAGTGCTGATAACATACTTATAAAGTACGATTAGCCTAAGCTAAATGATTAATTCCACAAAGTGATGCTATATTATACATAGATAGATAGATAGATAGATAGATAGATAGATAGATAGATAGATAGATAGATAGATAGATAGATAGATAGATAGATAGATAGATAGATAGATAGATAGATAGATAGATAGATAGATAGATAGATAGATAGATAGATAGATAGATAGATAGATAGATAGATAGATAGATAGATAGATAGATAGATAGATAGATAGATAGATAGATAGATAGATAGATAGATAGATAGATAGATAGATAGATAGATAGATAGATAGATAGATAGATAGATAGATAGATAGATAGATAGATAGATAGATAGATAGATAGATAGATAGATAGATAGATAGATAGATAGATAGATAGATAGATAGATAGATAGATAGATAGATAGATAGATAGATAGATAGATAGATAGATAGATAGATAGATAGATAGATAGATAGATAGATAGATAGATAGATAGATAGATAGATAGATAGATAGATAGATAGATAGATAGATAGATAGATAGATAGATAGATAGATAGATAGATAGATAGATAGATAGATAGATAGATAGATAGATAGATAGATAGATAGATAGATAGATAGATAGATAGATAGATAGATAGATAGATAGATAGATAGATAGATAGATAGATAGATAGATAGATAGATAGATAGATAGATAGATAGATAGATAGATAGATAGATAGATAGATAGAGTTGTGAGGGAGCAGATGTACGTGTAGTGGTAGCATAAGTATGGTAGGTAGGTAGAGCACTTCCGTTTATACGTAACAAGAAATTAGTTCATATATTGTTTATCTGCCGGGATTTGTTCAAAAATTTTGAAAAAATATATACCGATAAATAAAAACTTTTACAGTACATAGTCATTCTTTACACAACACCTACAAATTACAACTTTCTTGGATTGTAATTTTTCTTACTTTGGATGTATGATATACGTAAATTTACAGGCATTATATAGTCACAACCGGCTACGTTAACTCATTGTAAATACATGCATACCTACTTTATTTATGTACGAATAATAAACCAGTGATCAATATTTCTACTTTTTATTCATCGTTCATATTAGAGTTTATTAGTAGTTGAGTACAATTTAATAAAAAGTTGTAACAGTATTAAAAATGTATACCGGTATAATTAGTCGGAAATCAATTATACAGCATTAATTATTTTCATGATAATGTTAAGATCCCGACTCAAATATATAAGTTGTGTATAAAGTCTTAGCTAAGGCTCATTTTATACTGTCATTAAACTATACTTCTGTTTTATCACTTCATTTAACTTTATATTTATTCAAATAATCTAGATGTATATTGCTTCATTTTACACTTCAACACAGTATAGCCATAAAAAGGAGTAACTTTGATGTTGGTAGCTTTTTTTCACAATACTGCTTATTAAATGAAGACTTGAGAACAATCAACAGATTGTAATATAGTTTCTTTGCAATCTTACAAAAAGCTACTTCGATTATATAGACAGGGCAATTCTAGAGGAAAGAGAACAAATAAGTTGAAACAGTAAAATTCTTTTTTAGTGACAGAAAATCTTATAGTATACATTACATATAAATTACATTTCTTTGTCATTTTGGGTGTTGTGTAGATTGTTGAACTAGATCGGTTCTTGATCTTAATGAAATTCAACATTTCTTTGTATTGATTCGAATAATTCAAATGTATTTCAATGGGAAATTACAGTGTCTTGGCAAAATATGAAAACTATACATTAATTACTTCATTTGCAAGTTTTCATCATTTGTCTTTTACATTCTGTATGATCCTTTCTAATTCCGTCTCTGTTTTCTTCAAGTCAACATTCACAGCCTTCTGTTACCAAGTTTTCCACTTCCGATTGGTGTTATATGCTACTTATATCGACAGACACAAGTGGCATACACCACATTAATGATAGTAGTAGTAGTAGTAGTAGTAGTAGTAGTAGTAGTAGTAGTAGTAGTAGTAGTAGTAGTAGTAGTAGTAGTAGTAGTAGTAGTAGTAGTAGTAGTAGTAGTAGTAGTAGTAGTAGTAGTAGTAGTAGTAGTAGTAGTAGTAGTAGTAGTAGTAGTAGTAGTAGTAATAGTAGGGGAGAAAAGCATTTTTAAATGTATCATCATCGTGTTTTAGACGATAAGCACATCCTGTAACTCACTTCTAGCCATGGCCCAGATATATTAAAGCTACGTGACTAGAAAACAACACTATCAATTTAGTTTATTTAGAATAAACATGTTAACACATTGTTAAACAACCTAATGTCTTTTAAATATTACCAAACATATGCTTGACTTAATTTATTTAAATCTGTTGCAAATATAAAGTGTAAAATATTCATTATATCACAAATTTTTCTCCAGAAAAATCGATATGATATTTTCTATTCAGATTGGATGGAGCTTCACAAGTATAAAATGAACAAAGAATAATCATAGTAAGATATTGTGTAGTGTTGTAAATTATTACAAATATTAATAGTTCGGATTATGAGTCAATTGAAGCTAGACCACCATGGATGACCTGGAAGCACCAAACGGCCGTTTCGTCCTAATGTGGGACTCCACTGCAGTACTCATCCACGAACCCAGGACGAAACGGCCGTTCAGTGCTTCCAGGTTTTCCATGATGGTCTAACTTCAATTGACTCATGATCTCAACTATTAAAATTACTATAATATCCACCCAAAACCCCTTCTGATACTAAATAAAATATGTTATTGTTTCATACTCTTCCTTGTACAATTCTTTTGTTTTTACATATGCTTTATTTCCAAAGATGATAATTTGGCTTCTAAGTCTTTTTTCACTTTTGTATCTAGATTTTTGTCTAGGAATAAAATTTTAACTGCTAAATTCAGTTAAGCAAACAAGCTTAAATACAGAATTATACTATTGAAAAATGGTTATATCGTATAACAGTTTAAGTAGATGAACTTATAGGAATTTGCGACTATATTTGTACACTTTCCTACTTTATTCTGATTTCTTATAACTCTAAATTCAGGACAAAATGTATAGGTTGTTTTTTCCGAAAATTTATCTATTTATTTTGTTTATTTGTTCAAGTTTGTCCAATAATAAATTGATAAACTGAAAATCAAATGTATTCTTAGAAAATCTTAAGCTACATGACTCTCTGAAATGCAAATACAACATTTAAATATACCTATACAACTCCGGACAACTGTCAACCGACATCAAAGTCACAATCTTCAATACAAACGTCAAAACAGTTCTACTATACAGAGCTGAAACTTCGGGAACTACGACTACCATCATAAAAATGGTACAAGTATTTATAAACAATTGTCTACGCGAGATACTCAATGTCCGTTGACCAGATATTGTCAACAACAGCCTATTGTGGGAGAGAACAAACCAGCTTTAATCTGAAGAGGCAATTAGGAAAATTCGTTGAAAGTGGATAAGCCATTCATTGAGGAAGTCATCAGACTGCATCACGAGACAATCACCAACTTGTAGTCCTGAAGAGGAACGAAAAAGTGGAAGTTCAAAAAACACAATTCGCCGCGGATTGGAAGCGGACATGGAAAGGATGAATAGAAACTAGAAAGGATTATTCAGGACAGAGTTGGATGGACAGTGCTTTTGGGAGGCCTATGCTCCTCCACGACGAGTAACAGGCGTATGTAAGTAAGCAATACAATCCCGAAGTGAATATCAACTCTGGGATGCAGGTACATTCAGCTGAAGAGTCCCGAGTTGGGTGAAACGCACGTCCTGGTTTCCACTGCTAGCCACCATCCATATCTGCTTATAGTACTTGTGACTTTAGGCAATAGCGAAGCAATCCGTACAGTATGCACATATGCTAATTAGAAACTGATCAATTGTAGTTCTACATAGCAATGGGAAAATACGGGCAAATAATACAAAAATGAATTATACATATATAAGATTATCGAACAATAAAAAACAAAAAATTTTGTAGATTCATAATGACTAGTATGCTTAATAATAAACAGGATTATCTCTTTATGTATTTTACAATATAAATTAATGGACATCGAACCTGTTCTATTTGGACCATATCAAGTGCTGTTATATTATGAACATATTTTAGTTAGTCCAATGAGATGAGAATAACTTATCATAACTATGTGATATGCGTGAACACAATTCATTACATTTCTAGTTACAAACTAGAAATATGAACAATCAAAAATCTCGTTTCAATAATAACATGGTTTATGGTTATAATCAAAGTTTATCACCATGCCAACTCAAAAACAAATAATGAAAAACCAACATATTACTGTGAATAAAATGAACTAACATTTTCAATAATTACAACTTAAAATTCTTCAATACAGTTTATTGGTCCTTCTTAAATCATGGTAAAAAATCAAGGACGGTTTGATTTAGCTCACAAAAAAATCATTTCAACAAGATCAACATAGTAAAAGTAGTAAATTTCTACAGATCAATGAAACGGGATAATTCACAAAGAAAGTGTTTCATCCCTTGAACATTTACAGAGAATGGAACTTAATGTATGGCATAACTTGTAAATATGGATTGTATGACTCATAAGACATCGTTAACTAGAGGATCTGATTGGTGGCTATGATTGTTGATATAGTTTTCAATGAGAAATTTAGAATAACTTCAGTGATTATGTATTAGTATGCTAAGACTTTTAGATGACAAACAGTTGGTCGAAATAAGAAAATGGATAATAAGGAATAAATTACACCACTCTGGTTGTTAAACTAAAATCAATAATATCGTGGTAGATATAATGTGCGCATAAATTATTAGAGAGCACGGAAGAGAAGTTTAAATTCTCTCTGCTCTTGGGCTTCAACAAATCTAAACATTCTTCCTAGACTACCTCTATACAAAGTTACAATGAGTAAGTTGGAGTAAGTTCCATAACTAGTTTAAACAATATCTGGTAATAGAACAGCATGAGTGTTTAAATTATCTGCTTATTAGGTCATTGGGATTTGTATGCTTTTTTTAGCTATTCGTGCACTTTTGCTCACACGTTGTTTACATAGATAGTTTCATATGACTTTGTGCAATTCGAGGTTATTGTTTGCTATAACACAGAACCAGAAATTACCATGCCATTCAAATCTAAACCTGAAAGTCTCCTGGTGGACACAAAATACTTCAGCCATTTGGTCAGAATCCAATGGTTAACAATACCGCTTAGTGCCTATTCAGAAAACTGAGTCATAATCATAAATGATTAAATGATTCACTACTGATTTATTTGATTACAATGGTCATACCATTTAAACTGATGTCAATTTATGAACAAAACTACCTTGAATCCTTATTATTCATCTAAACAAATAAAGAAAATCATTTTCCTTAATCTAGATTCCCTTAAATGAACATAACGCTTTATGTAGTACTCAGTGTATTTAAAAAAAAACATATTGCTTTGTTGAATATTTCAAGAAAGGAAAATCTAACTGAATCAAGGTTTCACTTGTTGAAATCATGAGTCAGTTGAAACCAGACCACCATGGAAAACCTGGAAGCACTGGATGGTTATTGTAAAATAACTATTTCAAAGATAAATTTGATTTTCCTTTTGTCAAAATACAAAAACAGACACAGGAAAATCTTAAAGACAACTTTTTTCCATTAACATTGTAAAATTACTATATTTGAATATATTACAAATAATATTTTAAATCTAGTAGATTCGTAAACTGAGAAATAGAATGGTTATTCCATCATCGTTTTCAAAATATTATGGAAGAAACGGATATAGATTGGACTGAAGGAAATGATCATTTTATTAAGTAGATAAACAGAAGGTAGTAAGATTATTCAGTTGCAGTAAACCAGACTGAAATTGTGAACATTAAAAATAATAAATGTAGCATATATTAATATTTCGCTTACTTTAAAACACACTTATACAATTTTATGACTATAATGATCGATTTTAGTTTATTCTACACAAAATGAACATTACATGCTTGTTATTCATCACACAGATAATCCATTCATAATACATTCAAACATAAACTGAAATCATTATCTGTTGTAATTATAACAGTAACATTTATTAGTAACATCATTAGCGTCAAATAATTCTCTCCAGTTCACAAATCCAGACGAAATTCATAAAACAGATCACACTCATAACAACATACACACGCACACAAATACAACAATAGTCGAAAACATATTCTCATTGGAATTTATTAGTCTATTTTCATACAGAAAATGAAGAGAAATCAACACATTATTTCACCACATTATTTCTCAACAAGCATTTCCATACATACATTCACTCACTCAATCACACACTCACCCACCCACTCACTCAACCACACACACACCTCACTTAGTCATCCAAGCATCCACCCGCGATTATTCCATTCATATCACTAAGGTGTAATGTGGAGTAATGTACAGGTTTTGGAATATCTCATGTGTTATGAAACAATCCGTAATTAGTGAGTGACACGTCATCCAATGAAATAATCATTGGTTTCCCTCACTTTCTACGAATTTCCTAATATCATATTATTTTATATTATATTATATTATATACTATCTCTCAATATGGATTGATCTACCACGTTGTTTGAACAAACATATGCAGAAATGGGTTGAGTGATGATATGTGATATGTGATGATATGTGTAGATTGAATGCATTTCCACATTGACATTTCACCGAATGACTATGTCTGGAATTTTGTCAACAAGTAATTCGTGTGAATATTCTCCTTCGTCTAGTAATAGAGTCGTGATTCAAATTATCAACAATGTAATGCAACCATCAAATCCATCTTAATCATCGTGATCGGTGTGCATTATCACATTGTTGCTGAGGTGATGGTGGACAACATTTATGTGAGGTTTAGTTGAGTGAGAAATTGGTGTGTGTGTGTGTGTGTGCATTTATATTTACATGAAATGTGTACATATGGTTGTGTGTTCACCAACTGGTAAATTATTGAATTCGGACTAAAAGCCATTAACCAGTATTCTAATGCATTCTTCTTATTGAATTTGAAAAGAAAATAATTCGGTGAGAAAATCTCATGATCTCAGTTTCCATGCAATCACATTATTCACTCGTGTCACCAGTATGTAAATAAGTATAATTTACTAGGTCGATGACA